TCCGCCCGCACGCGGAAAGGAACACTAACAGAAGATGTTGGTAGGGAAAAGGGGTGGAGAGCAGGGAGGAACGCAGGCCAGTGGAGTTGGTTTGGTTATAAAGAGCTAGGGAGGAAAGAGAGGTAGCATTTCAGCCCGCATCTGGGTCTTCGGCGGACTCTGCGATGGCAGACAGAAAAGCTGAGTCACTGCATTCCTCCATAGGGCTCTTGGGCATTTCTGCAGGTAGGGATCGAGTCTTCTTGGCATGGGAAGATGGGGTTGGGACTAGCTTTCATGGACAACCCCCTTTTCAAAGGGGGCTAAAGAGTCTGTTTATTCTGAATCTTCTCTGCCTGGGTAAAGCTGTCCGATCCAGAGATCCCCGTGCCTATTTCAGCAGCCAACAAAATATTTGTCTTGGCTTTAAAGTGCTGGCCTGAACTTTTGTACTCGATCCATCCTGGGTGGGAAGCAAATCAAAACTTTTTGGTAGTCATTTTCATAAACGATCTTTATTTGGATGCACTTTCCTCTCTTTTCCTTTTCCAGCAGTTTTCCTTGCAGCTCTGTTTTCCGTGTTCACTCCCTTTCATTTGCTCCTTCTTTGCGTTTCATCTCTCTGAGTGCTGCCCCTTTGCATTTTTAGGCTAGTTTTCTGTAGGCACAAGGCTTATGTGATCATCTGTAGACTGTGCGTGCGTCTGCCTGCCTTTTGTGTAACTGGAACGGGAGAGCTGATTTTTACCTTTATCTGACAACGGGGGAGCACTTTCAAACATGATTAAGTTCAAGTGTCTTAAAACTAGGCACCCAGAAAGAGGTGAGACCTTGGACACAAACCAAGTTACAACACACATCCCCAGCTCCTTAGATTTCATTATTTTCAGATCTTGTACTGCTTTTTTTTTTTCCTCTATTCCCTGCTCTTGCCACTCTGGTTCTCTCCTGTTTTTTTGGGCAAAGTTTACAAGCTCTTTCTTTTTTTCCACCTCCCTGGTCACACACAGGATCACTCTTACTGGCAGTGCATTTCTACGGTTTACCCAGAGCAGCCCCTCTGATCCCCAGCACAGCTCTAGGAGTCCTTCTGCTGATTTTATCGTCTCTTTTGGCGTATGCAGGTAAGACTCGGAGCATGGCCAGCTTCAAGGCCTCCCCTTCTACAGCTTTGCATGTATTTGGTCTGCTTTGCCCACAGGTTTATACAAACCGTGGCAGCCTTGCCAGACCACTGATTCATTCTCCTAGAGGAGTATGACAGCACAGCAAATTTTTCCTATATAGGCAACCAAAGAAAATCAATGTTAGTTTTGAACAAATGCTTTACCAGGATCTCTGAGAGTTTTAACAGACTGAATACATGATTTCTCTAAAAACGGTTCCCAGGCTTTCTGAGAGTACTTTAGGCTTCTGTGGATTGAAATGGCATGAGAGAAAAAGATCACTGGCTATAACAAAGTCCACACTTTTTAGAATGAATGCTGAGTTATTTCTCCTTTTTAACTTGGAGCGATGAGGACATGAAAATCCAAGATTTGATGC